TTGCCCTCCTTTCCCTGGTACTATTTGGCTCCCTCTTCATGACAGCATCTTTGAGGTCACCAGAAAACTGCCTGTAGCAATTTCCATTTGCACCAAGGTGAGAGACCCTGGTGCCCTCTGTTTTCTGGGAAATGTTTCCCACTCAGAGAATCAGAAGACACACCAGAAAGGTCATTAGGAGGAATTAGTAGCTCCCGAGATGCTGGGTGCGCAAGGATGTGTCCCCACACTTGCAGCACAGTGGCAAGGAGCAATGAGAGCTGCTAGCCCATGCTGGGAACAGCCAACTGGTGGGCATGGGCTTTAAAACACAAATATGCTCAGGTTAATCATTCAATGTGGAGGAAGGAAAGGAAGAAAAGTGAAGAAGGAGAGAGTTCTCACAGCCATGGGGCACTGTGAGAACAGCATCACCCCTCATTGCCCAACCCAGCATGTCCATCCATGGAGGCAGTGGGGAAGCATAACCGTGCCCAGCTCCGAGATGCACAGGCACAGGCAATATTACAACACAGCATGAGGATACTGCTGGCTATGTCTGCTGAGCTAAGAAACCCCTTGAAATAAGGCAAACAGCTGAGATAGTCTTGTCTGTGCTTGTGCCATCTTTCACCCGCAAAAGCAGGAGCAGATTTGGCATGGCCCAACTCACCGCTACACCCTCTGCACCTCACTCTTTTGGGGGGGTGAAATCACAGCTCTGAAGCATAGGTTTGCTTAGGAGCAAGGCAATGGAGGGAAGAAACTGTTAGCTGTCACGCAGGGAGGTAAAAATGCCCCCTGCCAAATGCCTATTTTAAAAAGAGCGCTGCATATTGAAGAGCAGAGCATTGTGTTATTAAAACCACGGTGTCCAAAGGCACGTTCCCAACCTTCAAGTGCTTGACTCAGCAACTGTAATATTTGTAATGTGACTTCCTGAGGCTTTTTAAATGGCCAATAAATGCCTCTTCCCCAAACCCTAGAAAGCACCGTGGGCCCATGAGGGCTCCACAGCTCCCACGCTGCCTCCCTTACACCTCATCTGCCATCAAATTCATCTTCCCTCCACCCCAAACTCCAACCACAGCCCCAGACCTGCCCCTTCTCCACCCAGCCTCTCCATCATAAGCAGATTGGTCACTGCCTGTGGAGCAGTGGGCAGGGTTTAGGGGTCCACCACCTCTGCTCGTGGTATTTACCTGCATTGACATATGCAGCAATATACTCATATGCACACAAGGAGGTGTGTGCATGTGTGCCTGTGCCAAGGGACACCCATGGGTGCTGCTCTCAATTGCTGTGTCTGCCTGTACTCCCTGGGTAGCCCTGGGCTGGGGAAATGCATGTATAGCCAAAGCACTGGCCAAAGCTCAGATTTGGGGCCCTGACAGCTCCAAAGACTCTCACATTTCAGTGTGCTTTATTGCAAGCCTTTAATATGGGTGAGGTGTAAAACAAGTGAATACAAATCGAGTGAGGATAGGAGACCTGCATCTAGCACACAGATAAGCTTCATGCACACAAGCCAGGAATATTCATGTATGCTGCAGCGACCAGCCTGGCTGGGGCACAGGGCATCGCTGTACACAAAGGTTTGCTGTTATTATTTCTTATTTTCACCTTGGTGGCACTTCGCTGCTCAGCTGGGGATTGGCACCTTTTGCCCTATGATCTGTACATGCAGAGCAAGGAGCGCATCCCTCCTGCACAGCGCCATGGGGCCGCTTTGTGCTTTTGCTCTGTGAAGGTGAGCTCCTCTTTGGAGGAGGAATGCTAACAGTCTTGGCTGGCAAGAGTTAAACCCCATAAACCCAAGGCTTGTAGTTTTGTTTTCTTTCAATTTATACCCTTCACTTAAAGAGGGGGAGAAAAAAAAGAAAGGAGGGGGAGAAAAAAGAAAGCCAGGTGACATATTCTAAGAGGGAGCACCGAAAACGTGTTAAGCACTTCAAAATCTCATATATTCAATCGGCCTCTGGCAAGACATCTGCCTAATGTTAGCGCTTAAATATCCTTTTCCATTTTACATGCATTCAAGTCTCATTTGAGCGAAATGAAACGGTATTATTAAAGGGAGATTTTGCACAAATGGCCTGAATTTGACATGTCAAGTTCAATGAGGCTGTTACATATGTAACACCGAGAAGGGCTCGGAGGCTGCCGGCTCTTGAAACAGCGCCAGTGGCTCAGAAATGAAATTTGCATTCAGAGAGCCTTGCCTCGCTGAGTGGAGCTGGGTATGGGGCTCGCTTGGACCCACACAGGGTGGAGGAGCTGTGGGGCGAGCACCAGCAGGTCTCTCCTTCTGGTTTGGGACACTGGACACGCCAAGAAGGCAGCAGAGATAGAAACTCAATCCCTCATTCACACTCAAGTCTGCTTATTCAAGGGAAATCTTGACCCTGCACCAGGGTTGGATCCTTCTGAGTGATGTCCATCACTGGTCCAGTGGCCAGCGGCCATCCCCAGGGCATGTGCAGCACCCTGGCATGGGTGGGTGCTGCCCTGTGGCTCAGCACGGCTCCTGCTGCCTCGTTGTGTGATGCTCCAGCTGGGTTGACCTTGAGATGTCCCTGCCCCGAGCCAGGATGTTCACACCAGCTCTGCTCTTGGGGGTGAAACGCTGTCCCTGTCCCTGTGAGATAGCAAACACCAATCCCACCAGCTGAGCAAGGAGTCACTGGTGTGGGTGGGTTGCAACCCCAGGCTGTTGGTGAGCTGCGACCATGGGGAAGCATCATCCAGGTGGCTCCTACAGCTCCCTTGTGTCCCAACCCCTAAAAGATCCTGTGATGACCTGGAGGAATCCCTTTTCCTCCTTGCCTTCTTCTGTGCTCCTCTGAGCAACGCGGAGCTCCCCACTCTGGCGATGCCCAAAAGCCCCTGGTGAGTGATCAATACCCAACAGAGTCAATGGCGTGGGGCAGCTCCTTCACCAGCCTCTCCCCTCTTGGTCTGGCCTTTTGGCAGGATCTCATCTGGCTCACCCACCACACAGCTCCTTGGCCACGCTGCATTGGGTGAAATCCCAGCACACAGAGAGCCCCGGTGCCATGGCAGGAGCTGCTGTGTCACCCATCATGTCCCTGGTACTGCAGGCTCAGCAGGCAGGAAGGGATCTGCCTTCCTAACCCCAAGCGCTGGAAATTTATGATTTTGTTGCAAATCATTAAGGTTTATTAAAACTTAACAGCACGAGCCATGATTGGCTGCATCCTCTTTAAATTAAGAAAAATAAAAGGCCCTTGGAAAGCAGCCCCCCCCCCCCCCCGTTCCCTTCTCCCCATCACACTGATAAGTAACAGCTGCTCAGCCATTTCCCTAACAAGTCGGTATTGGCAGGGAGCGGCCAGGGCTGCCGGTGCCCGTCATGTTTATAGGCCTACATTTTATTTTTATGTTTATTGGGTTATTTGAGACCATTATTAGTTTCTCTCTCCTCTTGTTGATGTGTTCTTGCTCCCGGCTCCTCCAGCCAGGAAGGGTGGGGGGAATGGGAGATGGGGCCACCCGCTGGGTCAGGCCGCCCCACTAGAGTTAGGCAGCACATAGGACCTCGACCTGCTCACATCCCGCTGCCCACTATTGCTGCCCGCCCTGCCTGCTGCTGCCTGCTGGCCCCCATCAGGGCTGGTAGGGACCATCCCTGTGCAGAGCTGCTGTGTTACAGATTAGCCTCCATTGCCTGAATCCATCGACTAGATTGAACGTTATCTATCACACTATGGAGGGAGTCGTTATTTAATAATTAATAAAGACCTCTGATTCTTCTTCACCGCCTGCGTGGCCGAGCAGAGCGGGCCGGGGAAGCGAGGGCAAGCTGGGGAGAGCTGTCTCCTCTCTAACTGCTGCTGTTATTTAAAGGAATAATGCCATTCTTTTTCATTTGTCAGCTGGCCCACAATGGCCCTTGTCATGCTTTATGATTTAGGGTTTCCTTTCCTCTCCCATTAAACGCCACCTTCCCATCACCACCTCGCGCCAGCCAGCCTCCGCTCCTGGCTTGCGGTTTCAGTTTCACTCTGATATTGGCCCAACTTCTTTGATGGGCTCCTGCGAGCACTAATTGCTTCTGTTCATTTAAACCTGTTCACTAATTTGCAGTGGCCCTTTATTAAGTTGGATGCAGCCCAAATTACACTATAAATTATGCTCGCAGGAGGACTGGGTGTCACGGGGGATAAATGCGCTGCCTGTTCCCCACGGCCCCCCCACCTTCTCCATCTTCCCGTGCAATGCCTGCAATGGGGATACAGGTCTCAGCCAGAGGCTGTGGGTGCTGGATTTGGGAGATCTCAGCCAGGACCCATTTGGAGAGGTCTCTCTTTCTAAAGCTCCCTTCTTCTCCTTTCATCTGCAATGGCTATTGTTGAGTTGAAATGAAGACCCAAGCCAGGCAGGGATGGGTTCTGCATCCTCCGCACTATGCACAGCCACATGCACCCCCTTGCCCTGGCACACACGTACACACTGACGCACGCACTCTCCCTCCTCTCCTACCACCTGGTGATGTAACTTTGCTTCTAGTCAGCAGTTTGATTCCTTTCCTCACCTTTTAATGATTGGGGAATTCATTAATAATTGAAATAAACACGTTCTTTTCCAAGGCTTCTGAGTTTTATGGAGTCAGGGCCAGGGATCTGCCAACCCTTGACTGTAGCCGTTTCCTAAATAACTGCTAGCACTTAGAATGCAATTATTATTTTAAACAGGGGACTTTGCTGTGCTGGGGAAAGCTGAAGGGAGCTGCAGGCAGCTGAGGGGCAGTGCTCACCATTGCTGCAGGCCTGCTCCATCACAGGATGTTAGCGACGTGATGTCCGCAGGGAAATGGGTGTCTGTACCCATTTCTACCTGGCTTTACCGTTGCAGTGAACTCCAGGGAAATGTTTCTGCCCCACTGGCTAGCATTAAATCTCCCGTATCTGGTAGCTGTGAGTGCCATCATCTCCTCTGCCATCCACAGCTACCCTGGCTTGCTAAGCAGGGATGCTGGTGGACCCAAGGGAGCTGCTTACCTGATGTTCAGCTGGGTGAGCTTTTCCAGTTCCTGCTCCATGTGCTCCTGCAACTCCCCAGGGCGAAGGAGGACCTGGCAGATAGGGCAGATCGGAGCCTGGCTGTCAAACAAGGTTGCTTTCTTTTTGCCTGCGGGAAGGAAAAGAAGGAAGAAAGCTTTAGCTCTGATCGGCTGCCATCAGCACCGCCTGCACTCTGCCCTGGTCTCTGTCCTAGCCAAGGTCTGAAACCAGGGAATTTTCTCCAGGTATAGGCCGGTTTTTCTCCCTATCCCATGCTCCCTCGGTCAGGGACTAGCTCTGTTCTGCAGCAGGACAGCAAGTGGCATGAGAGCATCCCATCTCCAGCTATGGGCTCTCCAGTCTTACTTGGAGAGCAGCAAGAGCCACATTTTGGGAGTGACGCTATGCAACCCTGGCTTTCCCAGTTTGCAGTGCAAGGCGGTATGACGCAGCACTGCCCACTGATCCGAAGAACAAATAACAGCAAGTCAAGAAGAGCTGTCTTCATCCTCCTCAGCCCTCCTGAAGTCAGGTGGATCAGGATGACCCCTTCAAAGGGCAGAGTGATTCCCCATGGGCCCACATGGTTGGGAGGCAGAGGAGACCCTGCAGTGCCAGGCTGTGGATAGCAGGAAGCAGGTCTGGATGCTCAGCATGGCTGTCCCTGTGGTCACTGGGACCAGGCTCACCTTGTTTCTGGGCTGGGGTGGTGTCCCTTGCACTTTCCTCACCACCAGCAGCTCTGGACCCTTCATCTGCTTGAGCCCCAGGACCCTGGGGCTGCATTGTTCCTAGGTGAGATGCCTGTGGTCTCCAGTCCCAAGCCCCTGGGGCCACCTGGAAGCAGTATGCAGCCTCACACCCTCCTCTCCAAAAATCCTTCCTGCTGTTCCCCTCCCCAGCCACATCTCCTTGGTTCAATCCCTTCTCCGAAGCCAATTTCCTCCAGCTCAGAAACTTTATTGCCCCCTCTGTAAGGCATATACAGCATCTATTTAACATGAAATAAAACTCTAAAGCAAACAATGAAGTTTCAATAAAACAGAGGAGCCCGCGGGTCTCCAGGCCCCCCTCTCCCAGCTGTATTAGCAGCTCTGCTCATGAGAGGGCGTGCGGAGCCTGGTTCAGATGGCTCTGGAGGGAGAAACATGCTTTATAGCTGCCTGTTGTCATCCAACGTGAACCCTCCTGCTGGATTATTTATTTATGTATTAGACATGGATCAAATTGGTTAAATCCGACTGAGAGGCAGTAATGCACAATAAAGCAGCCGGCACTGGATACGAGGGGGCTGCGTGCACCATGGCCTTCCAATCAGGAGCCAAAAGGTGCCATTTTATGGCTCCTAACGATGGCAGAGCCCAGTTAAATGAAGCCCCATTAAAGGAATAGACCTTCTCAAAGTATAAAACATTGGTGTGAGTGGCTTTACTGGGTCCTGCTGCTCACTGTGTAACCGCCTGGGGCAGACATTTAATGAGAGGAAGGGTCTGAAATAAGTTTGAGGGTCACCTTAGCTCATCCTTGACTTCCAGCAGGACACAGTACTATTGGCGAGGTGTTACCTGCCCTTTTTTTCAGCCTCCTTATAGAAGAGGTTGGAAACTGAGGCATGAGGGACAAGTAGGGGCAGGCCACTGCCATGTGGCATCCTCCACCTCCCTATTCTCCATCCACTGGGAACTCTTCCATTTGCAGAGGAAAATGCAGATGGTCTCTCCACTGGATGTGAGCTGCTCCTGATGGCTCCTGGGCAGACCTCAGGCACCTCAGCTCCTCATCCCTACCACCTTTCTGCCCGGGAGGACACAGACTGAATTCCATGCAACTCGGACACCTTCCTTTCTCCTCCTTCCCTTGTGTTTAAATAATGCCCAGAACCCAACCCAAACAGCCAGCTCCTGCTGACCCTTGCGGGAAAGGTCGGCATTTCAGTAATTCCACCTTCCTCTTGGAGCTTTTCCACTTTTGTATAGTGGGGGCCCAAAATAACCCCAGAGCATCCCCGACCACCTGCTATTTATAACCCCAACTTCACAGCAAAACAATGGAACTGTCTGAGTCTCCCTCCCAAAATAAACAGGCAGCCTTTGAGCGGACGGGAAATCCTGCTGGATCCCCGCTGTGGGGTGTGCAGATGGATGGGTAAACAGGCTGCCCTCCGCCCTACCGCACCGCATCCCTGATCCCAGACCAGGCCACCGCCGTGGGGCCCGTTGAGCCCCTCGCCTGCCACCCACAGCTTGGGATGGTGGGGCAGGGATGCTCTCAGCAGCACCAGAGGGTGAACTGAAGGTTGAGCATCTCCAGGTCTCTGCTCTCTAGGGAGGGGATGACAGTGTCCTGGACCCCATTGCTGGGATGGACAGCCTTAGACCAGCAGGCGCAGATGGGGTCCCTCTTGGGGACCAGGTCAGTTCCAACAGGCTGGTGCCTTTTTCAACCTCCTGCACACCCAGGTTCTCACCCCCTGGTTGTTCTTTGGGGCTTTTCCATGGGCTGCATGCTTCTAAGCAGAAGTGACTCTGGATTTCAGTGGGTAGAGATCTCAGGTCATAGGAAGGAGCTTTGCTGCCTTCCATGGCCACTCCCAACCTCAGCCTGGGACAGCAGAAGAAATGAGCAGCAATGGCCTTACCCACTGACTACATCAATGATATGGTGACCAATTTCTGCCAAGGAAGGACATGACAGCTGTCACCCCACATCGCTGCGACAGTCAGGGACAATCCCCTGATCCAATGAGTGCAGGAGGCTGGTGCTTGCACTGGAGTAAGGGCTTCCAGAGAGGCAGGAGAACAGGGACCTGGACATGCAGCCAAGTCCCTGATGTACAGATTGCAAAGCAGGAGGCAGAAGGAGCCTAGCTCCTGGCCCAAGGGGCTGACAACCGCACTTTTGCAGGAGCAAGGCTAAGTGCAAGTGACAGTCAGAAGGGGGGGATCATATGCAGAGCCACAGGGACACCTACGCAACTCTCCTGAGGTCCATGAAACCTGCTGCATCCTGCAGTGCCACAGAGGCTGCCAGCGGGATGCGTCTCCCCAAATCAGCAGCATCCTCATCCGCAGCGTGCCCCAAAGCCTGGCACATCCCACACTGTGATATCTCGCACTAGGCAGTGGTACCCAGCTCTGCAGTGTGGGGTGCTAGGAGAGGGAGAGGATGCACATTGCAAGTCCCTGGCTTTTGTTCTTGAATGCAAAGGTGAAGTGAGATGCATACATCCCTCTTCTCCAGAGCAGGGACATCCTGGTACCACTAACAAGCAAAGGATGCTGCACTCTGTGTGGCTGGACCGTGCTGGGGTGTAGATGCTTACCCTGCTCGGGGCAGCAGGCAGCTTTGATTTGCCCAGGGTCCATAGCCTTGAGTGGGCTGGACCGGAGCCTGCTCCAGCAGTGAACACTGCTGCCCTGTGCCAAACTCACCCCTGGGAGACCCTGAATGGCTCTTTTCAGGCTTTTGTTTTTTGGCAGCTGTGTTTTTGTTTTCTTTGCCCCTCTCTCTCTCTTTGCTTTCTGGTTACTCGGTAGGCTCCGCTCCAGTGTTTACCCTCCTCGGCTCTGCCTGCTTCCCCCGCTGCCGACCCCCTGCTCACCAGTGCCAGAGAGATGAAAAGGCAGAGCTGTGGTGCTCCTGCTGTTTGCACCATCTCCTGGGCTCTGCGGAAATGTTTAACTCCAAGTGTTGAAATCCAATATTTCCTGCTCTGAAAGCAGAGGGCTCGATGTGCAGACGTACCCCTGCATGGGAGAACTTGTCCAAGGGCTCCTTTGGAGGGTGTCTGCAAGCAGATCCCAGTTCAGGGGGGGACTGAAGTGAACCCGTCTGACCCAGCTGGGGATCCAGGGCCAGATCCTGACCTCAATTACACTGCCATGGATCCAAAATAATTCTCCTGAGTCCTCTGAGTCAGGCTGGATTCACTGCAAAGCGACTGCTAATGGGACCTGGGCTCCAGGCTGGAAGCTGGGTTCAGGTACCAGGAATGCAAGCATGGCACTCGGTAGGTGTGAAGGCATGAAGACATTCCCACCTCAGTGCCCTGGAATGGAGGGCTGTCAGCACTGCGAGGCATTTGCAGGCCAGAGCCAGGTCATTTGTAAGGGAAAGCTAACCCTTCACAAGGCATTCTGCTGTTTTGGAGAGTATTTAAGTGAGGAAAAAAGGGACCCAGCCCACAAACAGCTGCGACAGCATGTGATGTATACAGCTCCTCCTCACTACGCAGCACAGAACAAATGATGCTCCCAAGTCACTCTGATTGAGCGAAGTTTACAGGCATGAGGCCCAGAGCTCAGCAAGTTGCCAAATGAGTGAAATAAATTGTTTATTTCAGTTGCTCAGCTCTGCTGATGGCTTCTTCCCCAGCCAGGTGCCTCCTCAGGGACTGCCACCCCAGTGGCACAGGCGGTGGCAGCAGGTAGAGAGCATAGATGGGACCGCATTCCACTGCTGGGGATGCATTTGCCCTTTCCTAAGAGCCCTTTGCTGGGCAGACCTCAGCACATCTGCCCAGGCTTCAGGTCATCTCCTCACACTGTCCTTCCTCACGGCCATCTCAAACTTGCCCCTGGAGGACCAGCTCTTCTTTCCCGACTCTTTGATTTCTCCTATCTCAAACTGTTTTCCACTTGTCTGAGTACCAAACTCCCCCTCCTCCGAGATGCCTCCCTCCATCTCACCCTCCTATTTCCTCTCTCTCCCTCTTAAACACTCCATCATTTAAACCCAATCAAAGCCAGTTGATCTGAGACTCTTCTGAATAGAAATGACCCCATGCTGGGGCCCCGCACACCGCTTTGGGGCCGTGCTGAAACCAGGTGGGTGGTAATGGAAGTGCTGACACAGGCTCCTTGACAGCATCGCCACTGCCAGCGCCTGTAATAATCCCTCCCGGCTCCTCTGCAACTCGGTTTCTGTGGCGATTATTTTCCATTCGATGATGGGCTTGCTGTTATTTGTGTACTGATAGCAGATATCTCGTGTGACAAGCCTCTTTTCCTTCCAGCTCAAAAAACAATAATTCAAAGAAAGCCCCATATTAGCTTGGAAATAGCCAAACACTCGCTATTCTCCTGGCAATCCTGCGCTGCAGCTGACGGGGCTCACAGAGCACTGACA